AGGCCACACTCCTTTCAATCCGGGGATTCCCACAGGAAAATGTCATTGGTTGATTCTTGTTAAGTGCCCACAACCTTGGTGAATCAGGATGATGCTCTGACCAAATGAGCCACCTGGCCAGGGTGGTTATTGTTTTTAATAAATTTGAGAAGTGTTCAGCCATTATTTCTTGGGAAAAAAAATATATGTATTAGGTAAAGCTGCTGCATTTTCTAGATTTGGTAGAGTGGCCTTGTGTAGCAATAGGTGGCCTGTAGGGCCCAGTGGCACAGCGTCTCCAGTCACCCGAGCTAAACACTCCAGGTGTGCCTGTGTGTCTGCTGTGTGCACTGTCCTGTGATAGTTGAGCCTTGATTGATGTTGGTGTCACTAGGAGGCATTGACCCCTAGGCCAGTAAGCTGCAAGTCTGGCTGTGACTCCAGTGGAGGAGCTGTTGGGCAGGAGTCAAACCTATAGAACAGGACTTGCTTCAGTGCGGCTTTGGTGCTCACTGAGTCCACCCCTAGAATTAATCTCTTGTGGAGGTTGTAGAGTTGTAATCCATCCTGGTCTGAAGCTGTCCACCAGGTGCACTGACTCTGGAGCCTCCAGGGAGTTGCAAAGTCAGGCATCACTAGTGCGCTGCCTAGGGCCACCCGGCATGAGCTTCAGAGCGATCTGCTGATGGCTGTTACTTGTGTTTGGCTTGGAGGTGCCCGGGAGAGGCCAAGCTATGAACCAAGGCAGGCTGCCACTACTGCTGGGCCTGGGGCCACTTAGCAATAGGTGGGGGGTGGGCAGAGGCCAGATGCTACTTGCTTGAGAGATTTTAGGGATGTCCGAAACATGAGGCAAGATAGGTCAGTTGTAAGGAAAAGCCACTGGAAATAGCTTGGATAGCCCCGCAATTTGGGTGGGGTTGGAGTCTCAGGGAATCACCAGGGTGGGGCAAATAGTGTGATCCAGCGGGTTTCAGAAAAGGAACAGTGGCCTCTGCCAGCACTTTTGTCTGACAGAAAGCTGTCGTGTGGTGTCCTGTCCGTACCCCCTCCCCCCCCTCCCGTTCTTGCTCTGACATCAGACAATTCAGTTCCTCCTCCTATGTCCCTGGTTCCTGTCAAGCTGCTGTGCCAGCACTGGAGCTCAGAGGGAGTGAGTCCAAGTAAGTCCTTGTGTGGGCTCTTTAAGAGGAACTGCTGGGACTCCCGCAGCCCTCTGTCTTACTCAGCCACAATTCCTGCTGGAATTATGGGGACTTCTCTTCCTGGCACTGGAATCCTGGGCTGTCGGGTTTGGTGTGGGGCTGGAATCCTGGACTACAGGGATCAGGTGGGATCTCCGCAGTGAAGACAGCCCTCTTGATTTTAAACCACTACACATGGGTGTAGGATCAGCCTGTTCTGTGTCTCTGCCCTCCCACCAGTCTCTATGTGGCTTCTTCTTTAAATCCCTAGTTTTAGGACTTCCTTTCAGCTATATTTCAGGGGGTTCTGAATGATGGTGGTTCTGTGTATTTTTGATGTGATTGTGAGAGGATTTGAGTAATGTGTTTACCTATGCTGTCATCTTGACTGAAAGTCCACTGGCTGAATCCTTTTAATGAAGTCTATGTTTTCTTTCACAACGTTGCAGGGAGGTGAAGCTCTGGGTTTACCCGGTTACTTTGGGATGACAATGATTTTGGTAAGGGCTCTCTTCATCTTTTCCCCTGACTATACCACGTTGTTAAAGTCCACTAATTGCATATGATTGCTCAATTGTTTTCAACAATGCCCTGGGACATAAATTGCTCTACAAACTAATCCAATCAAATGTGGCTCCTTTGAAGGAACAGTTTGTGAAGCCAGTATTTGGCATTTGTTCCAATCCTAGGGAGGCTTCTCTCAGCTGTCTTATTCCCTGTTCTCTCCTGAAAACNTGGCATTTGTTCCAATCCTAGGGAGGCTTCTCTCAGCTGTCTTATTCCCGGTTCTCTCCTGAAAACTGCTGGCCTACACTTTTGCCTTTCATCACAACCTCCATTGTTCTTCGGGTGCTCTTAGGCTTGTATTTCTCCATACTCTGAGGCAAATAAAGTTATTTCCTTTGGAAAGAAATTAGGAACTATCTGTTTTACTGCCTGCTTCTCCACTTAAGCAGAATCTTTGAGCCAGGACTCTGGAGCCAGAGAAGGGGATAGTAGAAAAACTTCTCTCTGAATGACATCCTTCGTCTAAGAGTTGAACCGTCAATGGATGAGAGGTGGGGAAATAACCCAAATTCCTCTTGTCTTGCCTCTCCTGGAATGGAAACACTATCTCATGAACTGGGGCAAGGGTGATCAGGGCTCCAGTCTTGAGAGAGAGTGATAGAGAGGGAGAGAGAGAGAGATAGATGATAGATAGATAGATAGATAGATAGATAGATAGATAGATGATAGATAGATAGATAGATAGATAGATAGATAGATAGATAGATAGATAGATGCTGTGAGACTGTGAATGAGGCAGAAATTATTCAGGGGAAATGAAAGTTCTGAAACTCCAGGATAATTCAGGGATACCTTTGCTGTATAATTGTCACTTGGTGGAAAAAATCAAATGGGTTCATTCCTTTGGGACTTGGTGGATCTCCCTAGATTTGCAACTGACCACTGTCAAAACAGCTTCCCTGTATTGCTTTTTAAAAAAATCCTCATGTGAGGATGTTTATTGATTTTAGAGTGAGGGGAAGGAGGAGAGAGGAAGAGGGAGGGGGAGAGAGAAAGAGAAAGAGAAAGAGAGAGAGGGAGAGAGAGAGAGAGAGAAAGAGGGAGAGGGAGANAGCTTCCCTGTATTGCTTTTTAAAAAAATCCTCATGTGAGGATGTTTATTGATTTTAGAGTGAGGGGAAGGAGGAGAGAGGGAGAGGGAGAGGGAGCGGAACATCGATGTGAGAAAGATGGATCAGAAAAATGGATCAGTTGCCTTCTATATGCAGCCTGACCAGGGACTGAACCTGAAACCTAGGTATGTGCCCTGACCAGGAATTGAATCTGCAACCTTTGGGTGTACAGGACAGGACAATACTCCAACCAACTGAGCAACCTGGCCAGGGCCCTGTATTGTATTTTAATGATGATAATGTTAAGGGGTTTAACATTATCTATTCTTTCCTTGTCAGGGAGATCAGGTTTCTAGTCCATTTTGCTCTTACATAGCCATGTGACTTTGGGCAAGTTACCCTCTCTGGATCTGTATCTCATATCTGGGAAATGAGGATTAGATTGGGATCCCTAATGCTTCCTTTTGTGTGTGGAAACCTGGGATTTTATTCAATAGTCTGTAGTCGTGGAAAGAGCTACATTTTGGAGTTAGTCCAGGTTTCCAAACAATCTCACATTTACTGGCTTGGATATGTGAATTTACTCATCCATAAAATGGGGTAATATTTATAATGAAAAGCTCATTTAGCCCTAGCTGGTTTGGCTCAGTGGTTAGAGTGTCAGCCCTCGGACTGGAGGGTCCCAGGGTCAATTCCAGCCAAGCGCACATGCTTCAGTTGCAGGCGTGCAGAAGGTGACTGATTGATGTGTCTCTCATTTTTTTGTTTGAAGATTTTTTTTTAAAAATATGTCTTTATTGATTTCAGAGAGAGAATGGGAGAGGGAGAGAGATGGAGATAGAAACATCAATGATGAGAGAGTCCTCATTGATCAGTTGCTTCCTGCATGCCCGTCTGGGGATTGAGCCCGAAACCCTGCATGTGCCCTGACTGGGAATCAAACTGCGATCTCCTGGATCCTAGGTCAATGCTCAGCCACTGAGCCATGCCCAGCTGGGCTCAACATCTTTTGCTTTCAGCTGAAGATGGTATTTAAGGTGGTAGCTTCAGCCATCTTGGCTACTCAGTTTTCCTGGGTCTCTTGCCTGTATATAGGAGGTATTCATGTTATTAAACCTTAATTTGTCCCCTACACACGGGCAATTTCTGAACTGTCCCCTTCTTAACTCCTTTCCCACACCAGAGCCTGGAAGCTGGCTCTCAAATATGATCCTTGGTCCAACCTCTCTCTCTCATATTGATGTCTCTCTCTCTCTTCCCCTTTCACTCTCTCTGAAAAGCAATGGAAAAAATATCCTCAGGTGAGGGTGGAAAAAAAAAAAAAGTGTATATATATATATATATATAAAATATACATATATATATAAAATATACATATATATATATATATATGNAAAAAAAAAATGTGTGTATATATATATGAAATATACATATATATATAAAATATACATATGTATATATATAAAGCTCATTTATTCCTTCAATAATTGTTTGTCGACCACCTATTACTACACACTGAGATTGTGGGATGAACAATCCTCCCTGCCCTCAGAGGGCCTACCTATTACTTGCTTATTGTTGCAACAAATTGCCACAGACTTAATGGCTTAAAACAATATGAATTTATTATGTCTACAGTTCTCAAGGACAGAAGTCTGAAATGGGTCTCACTGAATAAAGTCAAGGTGCTTTTGGTTTGTCTGATGTTCTTTATGGTTGCATTGAGGTTATGCATTTTCAGCAATTCCGTGGCAATACCTCAGAAGTGAGGTGCCCTTCTGGGTGTATAAGATAGTGGCTATAGATAACACTATGTCTTATAATTGGCGATGTTAACCTTGATTACTTGGTTAAATGGGGTGTCTTCCAGGATTCTCCAATGTAAATTTATTATTTTCCCCTTTGTAATTACTACATAGTTTAGGGTAAATCCTTGATACTGTGCAGATGCCCTGTTTCTGCTTAAACTTTTGCCTAGGCTTTTACTTTCTCCGTTTGAGCTAACTTTTACGGTCTCAAGGAGCAGAAAGACCAGGGTTATTGCAGGGGAAGAATGGTAAGAGCGAGCAGATCGGCAGGGGCCAGTGCCCGTAAGAATTATCTAAATGAAGGGCCGTGCAATCAGGCGCCGGCGGGCCACCCGTTGCCCTGGAGACGGGGTCCTTCATCCCCCTGTGCGGCCACCTCGTGGCGCCAGCCCGGGCCCAATGAGCGGCTGCGCGGTGGCCGGAGGCGGGGCGATGGCGCCGGCGCGCGGCCTGCGGCTCAGCTTGGCTCTTGTCATGGAGGTCCCTACCTCCCCGCTGCTTCTCGTCCTTGTGCTCGGGGCCTGGGCCGCAGCGCCGGGCAGCGCCTCTCCCGATGCACCGCCGTTGGTCAACGAGGACGTGAAGCGGACGGTGGACCTGAGCAGCCACCTGGCCAAGGTGACGGTCGAGTTGGTCTTGGCGCACCCAGGCGGCAGCTCCACGTCCCGCGCCACCTCCTTTCTTCTGGCCTTGGAGCCGGAGCTCGAGGGCCGGCTGGCACACCTCGGCGTGCAGGTGAGTGGGGTGGGCCTCCGCCGCTCCAGGCGTCTGCCCTTCGACTCCGCGCCCCTCTCCGCCCCTGAGGAAAAGCGGGGCCCCGGGCGTTGGGGGACGCCCCTCGGCGCGGGACACGTCAGCGTAAGGCTGGCTGCTCGGGCGCGGGCCGCACCTCTCCGTTGAGCGGCAGCTCGCGGCTATTGTGGCCCGGCGCAGGTGTCCTTGGGCCGAAGGATCCTACTCGTCCCAATAAAACGAAGATCATAGCCTCAGCAGAGGTCTTTATAGGCTGCCTGTGCGCACCAAACTTTCTCTTGATTTTCTCATGACAACGCGGTAGCCCGACTGGAAGACGAATAAATGAGTTAAAATTTAATTTCCTTAATGTCTGGTCTAGGTGCAACTTTCTAGACACCATCTAATGCAGCCAGAAACGTAATAGGGGTAGGTTCCGAGTTGAAGTTTGTAATCGTTTGAAATTGTTAATGTAACACACTTAAGGTTGCTGATGAATGCTTTTTAAAATTTTGTTCTTTAAGTTAGTTTTAAAAATCACACAGGTAATGTAAGCCCGTTTAAATTATACAGAAAGGTAACATCCAGTTCTCTACCTTCCCCTTCTGGTTCTCATTCACACTTAAGTTCATAAGTTTGCTTGTGTCATCCCAGGTATTTCACTGAACACTTTCACCACTCAAGGAAAAGACAGTGTTGGCTTTGGGAATATACACGTACAGAGCTTTGCTTTTTTTTTTTTTTTTTTTTTT